ATCGTCCGTCCATTCAGGTACACAATAAATAACGCAGACCAGCTTCATGCCAAGGGGTTTCCCAGGGAGGCGAAGGGAAGAAAAACAGGACGTCTTCGGCAGGTAATTAGGCTGATTTAGCAACAGAACGGGAACGTCAGTTAAGGACGGGAAAGCGCACGAAAAGGACTGAACTCGACTTCCGGTGCCAATTTACCGCTTTGCCATTGGTCAATCCAGTTGTTTGATTTCCGCGCGCCGCCATCAACTGACGTTCCACAGACAGACAGGAGACACACAGGATAGGGTTAAATAAGAAACAGATAGTCGCCATTCTGTACCAGCTCTGCTATGGCTTGAGTCAAAAGTGCAATTGGTTTGAATGTGACCATGTGTCGTCCTCAAGACTGTCACCTGAATCAACGTTTAGTGATCTTTAGTGCTTGGCATTTCATAGGGAGTTTCAGCAACAGGCAAAAGGCAAATGAAATTTTTCATAACTTGTCCTCTTGCAACACCAGGAGTATCAGTGAGCTTGTTCCAGGGGCAATTTTACATAAATCATTTATTTGTTCAAGTGGCAACTTGAACAAATATATTCTGTGATGGAGCTAATTCTTATGTGGATGCGAACGTCATAGGTTAATAAGCAAAACAATTTAGGACGTGCACACAAACACTTTTCGGTACATTTTCTTGCTTTCCCGGCAGGACGAAATTTCCTTATACGGCATTTCGTGGAGCATGTAAGACATCAAGAAGAATTTTTATTTCTCTTTTTAAACATTAACTTGGGTGTGGTGCCCGAGAATTCAACTCCAGGAAAATTCCCCAACGGTTGGTTTAACCCGAATTCATTTTAAAGAAGCCTTGTCGTCGTAGCTAAATCTCCCTAATGTTAAAACCTCCCCGCGAGAACAGTATAGATGAGGTGCTGGGGAGGGTCTGGGCAAAAGTACTTTCAGTCGCACGCGAATGTCTGTTTGGCGCGTGTGCAAAAGCGTTACAAGTGCAAAATTCAGTAAAAAGGAACATTCTACAAGGCTTCAAGAGAAACACCAGCCATTCTTACGTCACATGCAGAAAACGTGGCAAACACGTCTGGATTTCTTTTCACTCCTTGAAAAAAGTTGACACCAATGCTCTTATCGCTGACTTAAACAGAATACCTTGGAGCATACTCGACACCTGTAGTAATGACCCAGATGAAATGCTAAACACCTGGATTAAACTTGTACTTGATGTTGTTGACACACACGCTCCAATGAAAAAGAAAGGGGTCAAATCGCCTGATAAACCTTCTTGGCTAATGAATGAAATTCAGGAAGCTATTAAACATCGTGGTCACCTCAAAAAAAACTACTAGATCATGGAAACATTCCAAGAGCTACTTTTAATAAGGCCAGAACAAAGGTACCCTGCGAGCAGACGGTACATTTTCGCGGTATGAGCTGGCGTGCGAAAAGTAGCTACTTTTCGCACGCCAGCTCATACCGCGAAAATGTTGCCTCTGCTCGCAGGGTAGAACAAAGGTTGTACATATGGTAAATAAGGCCAAGTCTGTGGCGATCGAAAATGAACTTGAAGAAAAGAAGCAGAGTTCTCGCTTATTGTGGAAAGCGTTGAAAAAACGTTGAAAAAGTCCCAGTGGTAAAGTAAAATCAATGCCAAACGACTTGAAGGCTTCTCGGGATCAAGCAAATCAATTTAACAAACATTTCGTCTCTATAGCGTCATCTATTGTAGACAATAATCAACCTGCCACTCCTGACCTATCACACATTGTGAGCTTTGTAAACGACAGCAAACCATCTACTGCAAACTTTGAAATCCCACTTCTCGATGTCAATTCTTTGGATAAATTAATTAAATCACTTCCTACAAATGTTGCTACAGGTCTTGATGGAATAAGTGCTCCATTACTAAAGCTCATCTCCCCGGCTATTCTTGAAAGTATCACCAAGGTTCTAAATTGTAGCATTCAGTCTGGTACCTGTCCTACTGCCCCCAAACTAGCACGTGTTACGCCCGTTTATAAATCTGGACCCTTTGTTCACCTTGTGATCCAAACAATTTTCGTCCGATTTCTGTTCTTCCAATTAGTTCTAAGCTGCTTGAAAGACGCATATGCACCCATTTAATGCTGTATCTTCGCGCGTTTGTCCTTATTGTTTCAACACATTCTGGATTTCGTCCTCACCACTCAACTGAATCTATACTGATTAAAATGACTGATGAGCTTGATGCAATGGATCAAGGCTTATTCACTGGTGCGATATTCTTACATTTACGCAAGGCCTTTGATGTTGTAAATCATGAGCTGTTAGTAGCCAAATTACAAATGTATGGGTGCTCTTCGTCAGCATTACTGTGGTTCAAAAGCTACCTGTCAGACCGTCGACAGTGTGTTAACATTGCAAGAACCTTATCTGATACTGAAGTATTGAAATCTGGGCCCAGTTGTTCGAAGGTCGATTAGCGCTTAACCATAGTTAATTGAGTGGAATGGTTATGAAACCCGTCAGACTCCTTTGTTATATGTTTTTGTGGACCTGAAAGTGCACAACGTTCAAAAGAATTCCTATCATTTTGATTGTATTGACCAATAAAAACGTTGCATTAATTTATTCCGTAACAATTTGCCAACAGAAAACAAAGGATTGTGCACTTTCACGGTGCTTTGAACATAAACTACAGCACTGTTGTTTTTATCATTGATGTTTGCCGCTTTTCATAACCAGTCTCCTCTAATAACTATGGCTTAACCAAGGGTTAAATTTAACCCGGGTTTCTCTTTCTTCTGTTCAAAAGCATTTTCTCGGATAATTTTCTCTGTTATATTTAGAGCTTCCAATCATCAACTTGTAGACAAAAAAAATTAAAACTGAAATGCTTTATAAGCTTTCAAATCTGAATTCAAATCTCGCACTAACCCTGGGTTATCTTAACCCGGCTTTGTACAACTCGGCGCTGGAGTTCCCCACTGCTCAATTTTGGGCCCTGTCCTCTTCCTCCTATTTATCAACGACCTGCCTTTAACCTGGAATAGAAATGGCCTATTTGCTGATGATGCTACTTTCTATGCTAGTGCTTCAAATCTGACTGATGTTCAGGTGCAACTTCAACGGGATCTTTCTAATACGGAGACATGGACCAAAGATGGCTGCCCATCCGCAAAAGACAAAATACATGATAACTGGTACTCGACAAAAGCTTTCCCGCTTCAAAGAACGTTTCTTGGGACTGGATATCGACCCCTCCCTATCTTGGTAACCAGACGTAGGTAATCTCAGGAAAAAACTCCTAAAGCGCGTCGCTGTTCTGGCTCGCATTAAAAAATTCCTACCGGTTAATCATCGCATCATTTTATTTAATGCTAGTATTAAACCTATTCTTGAGTACTGTGTCTCCGTTTAGGGAAATTCTGATGCAGGATTATTAGATGAGATTTTTAAAGTTCAAAAAAGGTGTGCGCGTATTATATTAGGTCCTCCGTTTCAGGCTTCAACCCTGCCACTATTTCTGGAGCTTGGGTGGCTACTCATCAATCAAATCTGTATTGAAAGAAGACTACTTCTGCTCAAGAAAATCGTGGATGGAAGTGCACCGGATTACCTCTGTGAGACCTTAGTATTCTAATTTTTTAGGATTTTTTTAAATTTTAGTAGTTTCATAGGGCCATAAGGGAGAGTACAGTTGGTCTGTAATTATGTACCCTACTGAAATTAAAGTGTTCATTCACTTCACTCGTAACAAGTGATTTAAGCATCCTTGTCTTGAGGAAGGTCCAAAAGCTCTCTTGTCTCCTTCATCGCACTTTTCTTCATACCCCTGAATGTAGAACAGGCAAGGGAGGGATGGATCAGAAAAGAGTGAACAACGAACACACTGACAAAATCACGAACTCTGCATATTTTGTGAAATAATTGGTGAGTTTACGCAACAGGACGGCAGGAAGAAGAGGACGGCAAAACGCTAGTGCGTGAAAAACGTAACAGTGTTCTTACGTTCCTCTCCCGTTGTGTTGCGTAAGTTCACTTGAAATGAAGACGGCTACGGTGTAGCCTGTTCCAGGCGTTCAGATAGTGGGGAGTGGTGGGAAGTAAAAAAGAGATGAAAAGTAGAGGGGAAACTTGGGAGAGCGGTGCGCAGATGGGGTTGGGTTGGTGATTTCTGGTCAGCAAAATTTTTTTTCTGCAAACCTGCTGCTGGGCAGGATATTTTTGTTCCTTCTCATTTGTCTGTAGGATTTTTTTTTCCTCAAAGAGGTTCAGTCCAGGTTTTTGTAAAAATGTATTTACATTTACATTGTGGCTTTTGCAGTAATGGTCCTGATATGGAGCTGCAAAGCCTAAAAATTTAGTAAGCTATACAAAATCATTCTTGTATAGCTGTTTTTGGAAAATCATTCTTTACACTCATGTCATAAGAAGTCACTATAATATTGTCATTATTATAAAGTGACGCCTATCAAGCAAATGTGAAAATGTTTAGATTCTTAATTAAGAAATAAAAATAGCAAGAAATGCTGTTGATATGTTGATTATAATACAATGCTTATATGAAGCAATAATTCCACAGCATCACCAAATCCAGAGTTTAAAAGGGAGCAAGGGAAGAATGGTTGCAGTTTCGCTGGGGTTTTGTAAAGCTTTCTGAATGAGGAAATAACTTGGTAACATTTTTCTTTCTTACAGGGCTTACAGCAATGCAAGAATTTTTTTTATTCCATTTTTGCTGGATGCACTTTTTTCTTCTGGCAAGCCCTTGCAGGAATTTTTTTTTCAAAATCACCCCCACCCCACCCACCCTCAAAAGTTAGATGGTCGGCCCCTGAGAGGGCATCAATGAAAGTTGTGTACGGTCAATTCGAACAAAGTAAAGAAAAGAACATTTAACAAAGAAGTCTGACACAGGCTTCATAATTTGTCATTAAGTAAGATAAAGCTAACATAAGATAATAAGATAATAAGATATTAAAATAACATAACAAATGTTATTATATTATTTTTTGCACTAAGCTAAACATACCATCTGAAGAAGTTTGGAAAGTACTGGTTGAAATAAGCAGCTGCAAGAAATGGATTTTCTGATATCCAGACTTCGTCCAAATTGTTTGCCATGCTTACCACCATCAACCTTGCAAAACGTTCTGTTGGCATATTGAGAAGTTTTTTTACAGAGCCAGGTGGAGGAAGCTAAAATACAAACAAATTTTCTGCTGAGATAAACTTGTAGAGCCATTTTGGCTTTTTCTTGCTTTTTGATACTTCACTAAACATTAAATGATGTACTGTAGACAAAAATTAACCTTTATTATTTTCTTTACTGACAATTCCCTTATAAATGTTATTGTTTTTACCATTGTTGTAAAGTTTGAATTTCATATACAACTGCAGAGACTATACCACCATCCTCCAATTCACGGAATCACCATTTCCAGTAGACCATAAAATGACTGCAAATATACCCAATAGAAATTGGAAACAAATGGTTATGTAAAATTTGGGGGGAGGGGTAAACAAGGTGCATAATTATGGTCCATGTGAAAATGGTGAATGGCTAATGAAAATTGTGATTCAGTGAATTTTAATTACAGGTGACATCAAGACCAACTTCAATAAACTACAACATCATTGGCTAAACCTGTCAAAACAGTTAACCAACCGAAAAATAGCATGTGACGTTATCTTCATAAGATTCCTCCGCATTTATTCATGACATAAGGACAAAAGGGAATGACATCATCCACTTCAAAAAAGGAGTACAGTCGACTCTCTCTTAACGGACACCTCTATAAGACGGACACCTCTGTAAAACGGACACTTAGAGTTCGTCCCTGCCTTTCTTTACTCCTTTTATTTGACTCTCTATAAGACGGACACCTCTCTAAGACGGAGAATTAGTGCCGGTCCCAAAGGTGTCCGTCTTAGAAAGAAATGACTGTAAATAGTGCATGCTGTACTACTAACAAGACTACTGGGGATCTAAAGCAACAAAGTACAGCAAAATGATTCTCACAGTGAAAAAAAGGAAATTCCAAAATAAAATTTAAAAAAACTTTTAAATGTGCTAAAGATTTCGCAGAAACCATTACCAGGGGCTAAAACAAAACAAAGTACACGTCTCGATTTATTTATTCATAGCACACATCTGATTCAATCCCCATTGGTGTCCATATTAATTAGGATTTTTTTTTAAAAAAATTCTGTTTACCTTGTTAACGTCTTCAGAAAATGCATACTTTGTAAAATCAGACTTGACAGCTCCTGGACAGATGATCTGGACACCGATGTTGTACTCTGACAACTCGAGACGAGCTGTATCAAAGTAACCCTGGGAAAGACATTCATTATTGCTGATGTAAACAGGAAAATATTTTAATTATTGTATTTACACTTAAAAATAAAAAGGGCCATGTCTGGATAGCTGTTAATTTGACTTTTTGAAAACTGAGAATTTTCTATTCAATTCAATTCAATTCAGTTCTTTATTTCTCACTATACAAGATATTTTCACAAGTGTACATAGGTAGAAAAATAAATTAGCTGATAAATAATAATTAACTAAAAGACATTAAGTTCATCTGTGTACAGTGTCTAAAGTAGCAAGAGCTTTCTTGCTGGACACCGCCGGTCATGTTCAGATAATCAGCAGCAGTAGAGAGAGGACATAATCTAATCTATGACATAATCAAGTTTGTATTTGTCTGGCATAATTATAACTTAAGACTAAAACCTGGGCATCAGTCCAAAAAGATTCTAAAATACACTATCATTTGCTGATACTGTCTATCACACTGCACCTCGTCAAACAGTGCACAATACTTTTGCGGAAAGGGGACAGCTTCTACTGGGGAGGGGTTGGGGGGTTGATGTTGCCAATATTATCGTAAAGTGGATGTATAATGTTTTCTGGGAAATGATAAAGAACCTAGGGATTTTGTACTTAAGGGAAAACCATTACACCATGACGGTTTTTAAGAAATTCAGGCCTTCAATTATTAAGACCGGGGCCCAGTTGTTTGAAGGCTGATTAGCGCTAAGCCGAGGTTAAATTTTGATCTGTTTCCTTTTTCCTTTGATCGACAGCATTTTCTCAGGTAGTGTTTTTTAGGGTGTCTAATCATCAAATTGTAGGCAAAAAGAATAAATCTGAATTTGCTGTTTCCGCATTTATATATCTGAATTCAAATTTCGCACTAACCCTGGGTTATCTTAAGCCAGCTTTGAACAACCCGGCTCAGTAGTCTAAGTTATATTCTAACCTAAGATCAGGCTCTATAGCGGGAACTGAGTAAAAATGAAATGAAAGCCTGATACAACTGCCCAGTTAATTGGCATAAAAGTTGAAACAGCCAATCAAAGTTACTTCTGCTTATTGAATGGTATTAATCTTCCACAAGTGAAAAAAATGTACAGAAATTTGCTTACTTTGCCAGATAGGATACATCATTTTTTTCTTTTAAACAAAAACAAAGCAGACATAATTACATTAAACGACTTGCAAAATAATATTAACTTGTTCTTTTGTGTTCCTTGAGTTGTAGCTAGAAGTAAAAAAAACAATTGGAAAAACAGCATGTGATGTTTTCAATATTTCATTGGCCATGTGTGCTCACTTGCGAATTCACCTGGAGATATTACAATCTCAGAAAAAATATAAATCCATTTTATTCTTACCTGTAAATATGGACAGAAGAAATAAAACTAGCCAAACTGACTCAAACATTAAGGTGCATAATATACAAAACACTTAATAAACACATCAGTCTGTATATAAACCTGGAATACATACGTGCAATGCATGTTTACTTGCACAGTATGTAGCAGCAAAAGGGGTCCCTGAAAGAAATTAGAAAATATCATTTTAAAAACACAGCAAGATGTACAAAATTAAAATTAGTATGGAAAGGGATTCCAAAAATTATACTTAAAAGAGTGATAACATCTTTTTAATTTTCTATTATATGAGCTGACACAGTTCTAAAAAATCAACCAAGAGCCAGAAAAGTCCAATGACGGTACAGGGTCATTTAATAATAAAATCAGCGAGTGTGTGTGTGCCTGAATGGGTGTTTGACTGCTGGGTGAAAGAACTTCACCCTTTAAACCCCCTGCCCTGTATACAAATACAAATTCTCCATACTGATCTCCAAACATAATTTGCATAAAGAATTAGTTGAGAGAATTTGATCTTTGATCAAATAAATTATTTCCCCACTGGTGATTGTTTTATTAATCCTCACAGGATCTTTCTTGATGATGCACATCTAACATTGTTGGGGAAAAATTGATGTTGGTGATGCACTCTTGGGACTGAAAAGGTTAATTGAGGGAATGAGTGATCAGTACTGGAATGGGTACATGGCCGGGATGATCGAAGCATGTGACTGGAACTTGAGCCACTTTTAGCATTTGGAAGCATTTTCATCACATTTTGGGTTAAAATATTCTGCAAACTTATTTTTTTACCAAACTTTCCACCAATGCTGCTCACAACAACAATCTGTCCTTTTCGGCGTTCAATCATATGGGGAAGAATTGCTTTTGTCAGGGAAATAGTGCCAACAGTATTCAAATCCAGAATTGCTCGGTCAACTTCCAGTGAGGTCTTACTTATCAAACCCAGTTGTCCCCTTGCACCATTATTAACCAAAACATCAACCTGAAAAGAGACGAAGACACTGCAGGATTACACATAAGAACTAATGATAAGGACAGCTGCACTTAGCAGTTTGAAACATTAATATAATTAGGCATACAGTACCTTTAAAATAAATCAATACATTGATTTTTTTTACTTACATATTTTAAACAATCACCCTAGTTTTGGTTAAGTCTGTATTCTGCACTCAAATAAATTAACGCGATGTAACACTACTTTTTAAAACTTTTTTTTCCAAAGACAAAAAGTCAGTAACTTTTTAACAAGACATTTTTCCAGGTACTGTAACCATGAGCAAAATGAGCAAAATGCATTACTGGAAAATTTTCTATTTTCATAATACAGTCAAACCCCACTTTACAGACAGCGGCTTAATAAGGACACCTCGATCATTATTACAGACAGTTTGCTTTGTCCCTGGGAAAGAATGCCTTACTGCCAATGTTGAAAAGACAGGAACGTCACAACGAAGGAACAATAACAGCTTTAATAACAACAAATCGCTTGCAGTACAAGATGAAAGCGATATGAACACACCACAAGAGGAAAACACACACGTGCAACATACAACAGTAACACAATGCCGCAGGCACCGCCTGCTGGCATTACATTTTCTCTAAATTCAACTTAAATTCAACAGACAACTTGTTACAATGAACACTTTCTATGACCCTCTCAGTGCTCGTATAAACAAGGTTTGTCGATGGTACATAGCTTTAACATAGATTTACATTTTTTTTCTCTCCATTTTACTAGCCTTAAAATAAACTATAGGTAGGCATCTCATCTACTTGTACATGTTTTCTGGAAATGAACTGAACTGAAAAAATTTGTTTTTGGCTGGTCAAGTTGTAACACTAGTAAAAGCTTTCAAAAGGATACCTTATGAACATAGAGAAAGGTTGAAGGGACAATATCAGCCTTATTACTATTTGTTACGAAAAACTGTATTGCATGACTGGCGTGACTTTCTAGACGCTTCGCGAGAGTTCATAGTTTGTTTATTTTAGGATTTTGTGTTACAAGCGATTCTAAAGCGGTATATTTTGTAATCTTTCTATAATTAGACTATTTGGAAAGTTCTAGAATCTTATGTTGAAAGTCATGATAAGTAGACGAGTCCGAGTTAAGTTTTTTTTTAGCTGTGTTTAGTCAAGTGTGATGGAAGCAGTGTTGATTCAAGTTGGCGGAGGCTGTATAAGTTCATCAAGTTAAGTGCATTTGGCAGAGGCCGTGTAAGTTTATGAGTCACGTGCTAGCAGGTTGTGGAGTTTTACTTCGTGGAAACTACGTTCAGTTTTGGAATAAATATTCTTGTTGCTGTTCCGACAACCCTGTGTTGAGTTGGGTTTGCAAGCTACCCATCCTCTAAAGGATTACCCGCATAGCACTATTAAGAGTGAATCAATTAATTATCACTTTGACAGAAAACTTTAAGAGATGTATGATGAACCAGTTAATTTAAATCCCATACAAATGACAGGCAGATATGGAAAAGAGGTTTACTTAGAAGTTGACATCATGGTCATTCAGACATCATAGGCACAATTAATCTATAAACACACAGAAATTAAAATACACTATATAAAGAGAAAAAACTTAACTCAATATGTAGAGTGTACAACAAAACCCCAGACATACAGAATTAAGCATCAAGAGGACAACAGTCTTTAATTACCATAAAAACAAAATGACATACAGAAAAGCGTTAAGACGGTTTAAATGAATATACAAGGGAGAAAATGTGGACAAATACCAATTACTTTAATGCTGCTTTTATATAAAAATGTGATTTATTGCAATTTACTGTGATTTAGATGCTAGTTTTTTTCTGTCTTGTATTCTGGTGTTGTATATTAAAATCACACTAACATAGAACCTGGAACAGCATGACCTGAAGCAGCCACACAATGAAGTGTCAGGCTGGCCATGGGTCAACACTAACAATCAGCTTTGATGTCAGTTGTCAACCCTGTCCATCTAGACCATCTGCTGTTAAATTCAAGCCCTATATATACTAGTTTCTTTTTACCTTTCCAAAATGCTTGAGGACATCTTGTGCCAGTTTTTCATGTGTATCAAATTTTTGCAAGTCCAATGGAAGGACAAGAATTTCTTGATCTTTTTTAAATGATGGGTCAGTGGCAAGGGAAATTGCTGGTAGGAAAGAAATAGTAAAAACAAACTCAGTACATAAAGAAAAATCTTTGCTTCTACCTGTATTCAGACTTCAGGGGTCACTTTGGGGATGCTCTTAGATAGCTTTGACAAAGTGTTTTTTTTTTTCTTCAAGAGCAGGGCATACACTTTATCTGGACTTACATGTGTTAATTTGACCTTCCACGCGGACATTACTCTTTTCCGCGACGGGAATAATCCAGGTGAGCCCTTCTGTACTGCCCTTTTGAGTTTTGCTCCAGCATACTTAGGTTACGATCGGTACGTACACAATCACATCTGTGTTCTTGCCAATGATCCCCTACTTTACAGATGTGGGTAGAATTAAACAGAGGATCCTTTGCAGTAGAAAATTTATAATCATCTTCGGTTGGAGCGGACCTGTTCATCGAACAATTCCTTGCACTTGCTGAGCGTCGGCTCTTTAACTTTAACCTCAGGGCAGGGCAGAAATACTGCATCCTTTCTTTCTAAGCCTAGGCAGATTCTCCGAAGGAATATTGATCAATATTTGTTCCAAAAAGAATGCTTTCGTCCGAGCTTTTACAATGACTATCCACCATTTCGCAACTGGACTTTTTAAAAAGTCAGGGAAAATCCGGTAGTGCCAGGCCCCGCTCGGTATGAAATTAACTAACGCTTTTCCTTAGATTTGTATATTTAATACCCATTGCCACTTTATTTTCCTGAACTTAAAACGCAGGGTCGGGGTCGGAGTTTGGAGCCGGATTGGGGTTGGGATCTATCCATTTTTTTAAAGAATGCTGTTTTAGGGTTAGGGTTAGGGTTCGTTGACACCAACCCTAACCCTAAAACAGCATTCTTTTAAGACCTCTTTTAAATACACCCCGACCCGCGTTTTACTGACACCCCTTTGACACTTTGGTTTCGTTTGTGCTTCTTCTGGGTGACATTACTGTAGAGTTCTTCTTTTTTTATTCTAATACCGAGAACAATATATGTTGCGGTTACGTTGCCATACGAATGAGGTGGTTAGTTATCCCAGATACTCTGAGATACTTCTTTCTACCATAAATTCTGTAAATAACAGAATTTCTTAGTACTAAGTAAGCTCATATACTCTTTTTAACAAATTTCAAAGCATTTCTGCCTTTTTGATTTAAGAAAGAACATTCCAAAGTTGCTTTAGTCGTTTGTGACTAATGTGGTAAACGAAAGGGAGATGCAATCTGTACTCTTACGTTTCCCCGCATACACGCCAACACTCCCGCATTATCCGGGAGTCTCTCTCACGGATACGGCGCCAATCTCCCGCTCTCCCATACGGGTCACCATATCTCCGGGATAAAATCATCTTTTGATCTTTTCTGTGCCTTAGTTTGAGATTTGACCCATTTTAAGCTCAAAACTTCAATTTTTCTTATTCGTAGTGCGGTTTCTGGGGCATTTTTGCATGTATTTAGTCATTGACAAAGATTATTTCTTAGCCTGCGTAGCAAGCGTTTCCAATCGAGTTATTGCGCGAATTAGAGCGGAAGCAAAAAAAAAGGTCGTTCCCCTCCCCCTCCCCTGTCATTCATGTTTTTTTTTTTTGCTCTTGTCCCAGCTTTGTAGACGAACCTCGCGAGGAAACGCTTGCTACGCAGGCTAATCATTTCTGGGATCAAAACGATCATTGCGAAATTTGACAGTATGTACGTCATGTAAGACTTCATATATTTGTCCTAAGTCATTCCCTTTGGGGTCTGGGTCAATTTGTCGAGTGGAGCGGGGGGGTCCGTTAAAATTTCGCGGGGTAGTGAAAAAAAGAGGGTCTCCAGATTTTAGATCTCTAGAGTATGGCATCTCTGGATTCGTTTTGTTTGTAAGTAAAGTTCTGACGCTCTTTGCATGAAAACTGCACTGCAATTGGTTATGGAGACAATATACAATACAAATATGTGTAATTCCTATAAGATCCAGACATTTCTTTCTCGCACCCTGCTATTGCGGACTCTCGCCATTACGGACATTAAACCGTCATCCCAAGGGTGCAGTTATAACATAAGCTTACTCATATTTATAGCGTTTTTGACCTACCTGCACAATTTTTCTTGACCCTTTCTAATTCATCTTTTCTTCGTGCAGAAAGCACCAACTTACAACCACATTTAGCCAGTTCGTAAGCTAAATATTCACCGATACCGCTTGAAGCTCCAGTGATCCACACAACTTTTCCGCGCAACGCTACGGCGGGATTTTCACCTATCAATTCGTAAATCAGAAGCACAAAATCTGCATCCTGATATTTTACAAGCAAGAAGCACACAAGAGGAACTAAAACTGCAAGAACCAAAAGTGTTCGAGCCATGATGCAATATGCGAATTACCCCCGTGACGAATGTTGCCTCCTTTTGTCTTTGTTTTTAAATAGTGACCACGCAAAGGAGCGATGCGTGACGAAAGAACGCCGGAAAAGAACGACTACGAGGGAGACTATTAAAAAAGAGAAGTGGCCTCGGGGGAAAGAGCAAATCTGTACAAACTAAAGGTAAAGTTAATTTCCATGTCATGTTGCCGGGGGGGGGTACTCCCATATATGGGATATATAGGTACGTGCCGCGAAATAGGGTATGGTTTTTGAGGTTCTCGGTCCTTAAATAGGGTATCTTTTTTGACCCTTTTGTTTCTGTGCCCCAGGTGTGGTCCTTAGAAAGGGTAGCTTAATTGTATTATCTAATACTGGAGTGTGAAAACGCCCGCCTAAACGAACATTTTTTTTTTACACTAGGCCTATTCTGGTATTTTATGCTTGATGCTATACATCCAATGTTACAAAGAAGAAATAAAGTTTTCCTTTTCATGCCATTAATAATTTTGTTTTTTCCTTGAATAGGGTGTCATTTTTCCGCTTTCGCCCTTAAAAAGGGTATCAGTTTTCGCTTTCTTAGTCCTTAAATAGGGTTAGGGTTCACGAACCTTCGCGGCACACCTCTATCCAAAATTCGCGGGAGTACCCCCCCTCCCCCCCCCGGGGCATGTTGCTCTCTTTAATTTGAAATTTCAAAATTAAAAATTCCTAAAAACCCTAAGAATTAAGTTTCAATCAATCCAATCGGACATTTATAGTTGACAAACTAGCAGGAATTCCTTTCAATGACGTCCTGCCCGCAAATTTCCCCTTTACCTTTCAAAAGCTTGACACCGTTGGGGTTTAAGTGCAGCGGTCAATTTAATAACACTTTTGCCAAAAAATGGGGTAATTTACAAGTGTAGCTATTGTTTCCAGACTCTATAACAATAGCAAGAGAGAATGAGCTAAGAGACTAAAAGATGACTGTCACTAATTGAGTTCATCACCTCTATTTATACCACGGGGTTCTGATGTCATAACTTTGTCGATGAGGAGAGCCTCGCGTGCCTTTCTGACAGAGTCGGTCAAAGTTGTTACGGATTAGTTCTAAGGGAATAAGAAGGACGTAGCCTCCCACGCAGGCGTTTTTAGGAGAGCCCGTATTTCGTCCCTTCCCACAAAATCTTTGTCTCCGCAACAGAATTTTGTTACAGTAATATGCCGCAAATAATCAAATCAGACGGAATTTGTGCGAGTTGTTGCGGCGACAAAATTCTGTTGCAGAGACAAAGATTTTCACAAAAATTTTCCAGTACACACGAAGCCATGTGTCGCTAGCATGCGTAGCAAGCGTTTCCGTTTGGTTTTGAAGGAAAGAAAGACCGAGGAACGGAATTTTCGGTTTTGGCCGCGCAAGAAATGGAACGACAGCCAATCTTCGCACGGTCTTTGACTCTCGTTCCGAAACCGCACAGAAACGCTGGCTAGGCAGGCTACAGTGGCGACGCAACGTGTTGCTGCAACTAGTCCCCCCGCGACCTGGCGCATGTGAAGAAATGTGAAAAAGCGTTACAAGTGCAACATTTGTCCCAAGACTTAAGTTCATGATTATAGTTCCCTCCATGGAACGCTGAGTCTTAAGCTAGATTCGGATGTCAATCTGGAGGATGGCAGGTACAGGTTGTTTCCAACAATGGTTTGTTTTTAAATACCACTGACTACAAAGTAATCGAATTTTTGATCGCCGAAATAAGCCGATTTAGATTGCTTTTAAAAGGAACATTCAACAAGGCTTCAATAGGTACACCAGCCATCCTTAAGTCACTTCACTCATAACATGTAATTTATGCATCCTTGTCTTGAGGAAGGTCCAAAAGCTCTCTTGTCCCCTTCATCGCAATTTTCTTCATACCCCTCAATGTAGAACAGACAAGGGAAGGATGGATGAGAATAGAGTGAACAACAAACACAATGACAAAATCACGAACTCTGCATATTTTGTGAAATAATTAGTGAGTTTACGCAACAGGACGGCAGGAAGAAGAGGACGGCAAAACACCAGTACGTGAAAAACATGACAGGGCTATTAAGAGCGTGTTTTGTCGTGAAATTCACCTAAAATTAATGCTTTCTGCATGGTCTGTACAGAAAAATCTGTTTAAAGGAGGGTGAAGTTTAGCGAAAAGTTATTTCAAACAAAATTATTATCACACTTGTCACACAAGGTTTGTAGTCTTCTTTCCTCTCCCGTCCTGCCGCGTAAGCTCACTTGAAATGAAGACGGCTACCGTGCTGCGATAACTCTCAGTTTTAACATATTGATCCAAGATCATCCAACATGCACTGCTGGAACCATTTAACATTGTCAAATGTTTGGGCTACTAGCACTATTTACATGAAACAATGTTGGATGATGATGAGTGTGCCATTGTTAGGGTAAGATTCCGACAAGCAGCATCGTCTTCAAACATCAACATGATTCAGATAAAATGGTAACAAAAACCCAAAGATTGGGTTAAGTCTACGACGACAGTGATAAAGAATGGCACAAATACAAAAATGAACAGGGTAAAACCAGGCTTTCTTCCGGAGGGGGGGAATGATGTTGATTCGGGAAGGAAATAAATAAGGGTAGAAAAGGTATACAGCCGAACCCTGCTTTGCGGACACCCGCTTAATATTACGGACAGTTTGCTTTGTCCCTGGGGAAAGAAGCCCTTACATTTTCTCTAGATTCAACCCGCTTAATACGGACACCTTTTAATGCGGACAACGGTTACTTGTTTCTTGCCCAATGGACAGATTCTCGTAGAAAGTTAACCTCCCTAATGCGGACGCTTCATTATCAACTGTGTGTTGTTCATATCGATGTCCCAAGCCCTACAGTAACCGGATAGAATGATTTCTAGACGTCAATTTCAAACTATTGATTTTCAGGCATCAAACTATTTTGTTCTAACAAAAACTGTTTTTTGACTTAAATAACATGACCCCCTTATTACGGACAATTTTCATGGCCCCTGTTCATTGTCCGTTTTAACGAGGCGTTGGCTGTATACATAAACCAGTTAATAGTTTAGTTATAGTTCGCTAATGAGCTCAGAGGCACCTTGATTGTGTTGATGGACTATCTGGTCATTGTCTACTAATTATTCACTTCAGATTTTACTTTTCAACAATCCCCAAATCCAATATTTCCAATTTTCCACAATTAAACAATCTCCGCTAATTTATATACGATAAAAACATTCGAAAAATCATCCAACAAGTTTTAAGTTATTAAACCAAGGACTTCAAATTAATGGAGTAATTTTTTTCTAGCTAAACTTCAGCCAATTGCAAACTTAGTCTAGATGTTAAGACATTGTACAAAAACCGTTTTTTTAATCTTAGGGGAAGAAATGTTTTCAAAACAAGCACGAGTAGTCCGAGCTCGAAATATGACCATCGGCCTTGTTGGTAACATTCGAGATATAAGGCCCCTTTCAAACGTCGTGCTACTGCCGTACCGAACTAAATCGATCGAATTATATTCGACTTTAGCACGGCAGTAGCTCGACTTGGTTTCAAACGTCCCGCTACTGCCGTGCCGAACTCAATTCATAAATTATAAATACATTAGAATACATTTAAAAGTTTGCTAAACCGTTTCTTTATTTCTGTGTTTTGTTTTCGACAACAGCCGTTTTATTCGACTGAATTAAACTCGACGTCTGAAACCAAGTCGTGCTAGTGTCGTGCTGCAGTCGAGCTACAGTCGAGCCCGCTTAGCACGGCAGTAGCACGACGTTTGAAACAGGCCTTAGTTTTCATTACAGCGACAGCAGGGTCATGGGCTCCTGGATACAGGAAACCAACAAAACAAAAATACTCAAGGTAGCTTGTATCCAGGATCCGAAACTGTTTTGGCAGTACCTCTTCTTCAGGCAAATTGCCTTGAGGCATTTAAGCGAGCTTTAAAGGTATAACGACCAAATGGTGTTCATCAGTCCTCGCGTGATTCAGCTCTCTCGCCGGTTTTTCCTATTCAAATTCAGATATTGCGAATGTTACGCAACAATTCCGATGCTCTAATTCCGAGCTTGAGCTACCTGTGATTCTAGGATTTTCCCAGTCCCGGCTCTTCGTTCAGCCATTCAAAAGTTGTCATTACAGTGTTAAATATGGTCTTGGAATCCCACAACATAAATAACGGGCGAGAGAGACATGACTGAATCATGCGAACACTGATGAAGACCATTTTGGTAGTTATACGTTTAAAGATCGCATAAAAGTCTCAAGGCTTTTTGCAAATAGTAATAGTTTGTGCACTTTTATGAACAATGAACTCCATATGTGTAACTATATTTTGATACGTTTGGTTACACCATTACTATAAAAGGAACTGGACTAATTTAAAGCCTGAAAAAGATATACTCCCCAAAACAGTTTCAGATCCCAGGGGCGGATCTAGGGGGAGGGTTCAGGGGGTACGCATCCCCCCCCCCCTCTGAAATGACCTGCGGGTTTCTACAACAACTGGTATTCTGGTATTCGCTTATAAAATTTGTTTACGTCAGTTTCGCCATTCCTTAGTGACCCTTGGTGGTGTACGGCCCCTCTTAAGAATCATCCTACAGTCTCAGACAAAAATAGTTGGGACATATTAACCAAACGCTGTTTTTTCCCTTCTCGTTTCCCCCTCGTCCCTCTCAAAGTTGTTTATCGCGGTTTGGTCACCAAATCTTGTACACCAACATTGAGGGGACAAGGAGACCCCAAAGTGTCCCAACCATTTTGACTGAGACTGTAGATCCGCCCCTGGATCCTGATTACAAGTTAGCATGAATGTTTTTGTTTGTTTGTTTTTGTTTTATGTAGCCAATTGTTAAACTGTAAATTTCAAATAATATATTTATCATTCCACGGCATTTTTGCTTTTTTAAAATCTAAACCAGAAACGAACAAATTTAGCTATTTTAATTCACGGCAGGTGATACCAACTCAATTTCCATTTATAATATGACGAACTAATCCCA